TAAAAAATTCAAATCTTGTTCCTTTGTTATTTTCCTCTCTCTTATTTGCATGGGAAGAAAATATTAATAATTTTTTCTTATTTTGAAAGCTATAGATTAAATTGATGATGTAGATTAAATTTTCCCATCTATTCTCATTATATTTTATTTTTTAAATTTTATTTTTTAAAATATTTAATTATATTTTATTATAATTTTAAAATAATTTATTTAGGAGAGAAATAATTATTTAAGGGAGAGAAAAAACATAAAAGGGGTATATTTTTATAATTATCCTTTTTCCTTTATATTTGTATTAATTTGATTGGAAATATTATTATTTAAAATTTTAATTTTAAAATATATATTATTTATTATTATATCTATATATCTATATACATGGAAATGTATTTATTAGATAACATTGTAGAATTGTACATATATGGTTATAATGAATTTTAGATAAATGACGATATAAATTGAACTGTTTTATTAATTAACCGTTATATTCACATCAATCTTATATGAAATTTTATTTTCACATTATAAAAATCTAAATAATATAAGACAAAAATTATAATCAATATTTAATATTAAAAATAAAAATGAGTATAGTCAACGTGCACTTCATAAAAAAATTAATTACTTTAAAAATTGCATACCATTCTCAAATTAGGCATTAATCAAATATTATTTTAAAATCATTTGTTTGTGGTTGGACTCTGAATATTGAATATAAATTCACTGTCCTATTGAGTCAAATGATTAAAAAATGATATTAAAAAATGATATTAAGAGGTAACTATTAAATGAATAAAAAGTGATGTGTACTGTCATTTTATAATTATAAGGATAATTTTATCTTTATGTTCAATAAATTATATAGTTTATGAAAATGCAAACCAAGGCATAGTCCAAAGATAAATGCATGTATAATCTGATAATAGATCCAAGTTCGAATCTCTATTTCGATACTAAAAAAAAAAAAAAGAGTTTATTGAATAAGCTCTATAAAAAAAAAAAAAGCTTTTTCACTCAGCTAAAATTTAATTTGCAAATTCACATAAACAACTTATTAGTTCAACTCAAATAAACAAACAATGTTTTTAAAATCGGACTAGTTAACTCGCGAACCAATAGTTAATTTTTTTGATTTTCCACTATAAACCGTACAACTTTAATTTAAACAAAAAAGTTAATTTTTTTATTACATAGAATAAATAAAGTAAGTGGTTAAAACATAAAGATAGTATATTATAAAAGGTTACGGGATTAAATATTTGGGTTGTGTTTACTTACAGAGAAAACACTTTCATGTTTTTATTTTCTATTCTCTAATAAAATAGTTTTCTTAGAAAATAAAAACTAGAAACAAAATTGAAAAGTGTATTCACTTGACATTAATAAAAAATTATATTTTAATTTAAAAACTTTATAAATATTGTTCATGATTTTCATAATTAAAAAATAAAATATTATAAAATAAATTTAGAAAATAAAATTTAGAAATTTATTATTATCTATCTATAATAATAATAGTTCCGCTTTTATAATTTTATTAGAAAATAAAGATATTAATATATTAAAATAATAAACTTAATATATATATTAAAAACATAATATAAATTTTTATGTTATTTAAAAATTTTTTATTTTTCAATGAAAATATTTTAAATAGAAAAAAATATTTATTAGAAAAATTATTTATAAGAATATATAATTTTAATTAATTAAATGTCATTTTCTTATAATGGAAAACGGTTAGAAAACATGTCATTTATTATAGAGGTAATTCATTATTAGCTCCCTCAGTTTTTACCCCAAAATTAACTCAACAATTTCAAGGTTTTGACTCAAAATATCTAGCTTAGTCCCTCATGTTTAACTTCGTTCATAATTAAAAGGTCCTTCCTCGAAAAGTTGTTTTTTCCGTTATATATAGACTAAAAAGACTAAAAACACCCCTCCCAACTGCGTGGAAACCATAAGGAAAAATATATATCTAGTCCCTCAGGTTTTACATATTATTCAACTAATCCCAAGTTTTGCGCTAAATATATCTAAACTAGTCCTCAGTTTAAACTCCGTCTAATTTGAAGTCCCGTCCGTCCGAAAAAGTTAATTTTTTTTCGTTAATTTGAAGTACTAAAAGACTAAACACACTCCCCACCAAATCCCTAGCTGAAAGGTGGAACCATATATAGCGATAATTGATATACCTTTGTTTCCCTTTTTGTTCTCTTCCCATGCCCATAACGTATATATATAGTTTATCTTTATGAAAACAGATAATCTTGACACAGATAACCTTACATTAAATATTAATATTCATATTCAAAGTTGTGAAATTATAATAATATAGGTGACAATAATAATTACTTTTTTATCTATAAATAACTATTGTTTTAGAGCCTGTGTTTTCTCTGCAAATATCTTTTTTTTTAGAATATTAATGAGTAATTAATTTTTTTTTCAATTTTACCCTTATTTATATTAAATTTAATAATTATTTTTATAATTTTTCAAAATCATATAACATCTCCTCTCTTTACTTAAGGTTACGTAATAAAATTAATTAATATTTTGTTATAATTTATAAGAATAAATTTACTTACTTAATTACCATAAAAATATTAAAAGTATTTATGAATAGATGGAATACTTTGTTTTTTTTTTTAGATTTTATCAATGATAATAGAAATGTTTCTTGATAAAATTTGCATATTAAATATGAATAAAATAGAAAATATGTTTATTACTTTTTTTTCTAAAAAAGAAACTATGATGATAATTTGGGGTAAAAAGAAAAATGAAGTAATTACTTTTTTGAAGATGTATTTACTTTCATGATTCACTCAAATTTAATAATATTTAATTAGAACATCAAATTAATTTTTTTATCCTTTTTTTAATACTGTCTTTGTTTTATAATACTTGTCAGATTTGAGAAAATAGTTTGTTCTAAAATATTTGTCTAATTTAGTCTAAAATACTTGTTATATTTACGGTTTTAAGGAGTAATAAATATTTTTTTCATATTTACCCTTTGTGTATGATTAATAATTATTATTTCAATTTAATGATTTTCTTAGAGATTAATATTAAATTAAGAGTAATATTGTCAAAATTTATTCAATAATTTATTATAATTTTATTCAATAATTTATTATAATTTATACAAATTAATAATTTTTAAAAAGAACAATGAAATTTAATGTGACGAATATTATAGAAATGAAGAATAGTAATATTTTAGAGACAATATTATATTTAATAGGTTTTTCGATTTGCAAAATATTCATAATCTAAAACTAAACCGTACAATTTAAGAGAGAAAATGATTATGTCTCCAATCGACTTATATTATGAAACTCTTCAATTTTTCAATTTTTTAAATTTAGCGAAACTAATTTTCCTACTCGTTGTAATTTAAAGCTTAAGTCTATACAATTCTACATGTGGCATAAATTATAGGGAAAAATTATTATTTAGTCTTTTAGTTTAAATACAATTTCCTCCCTTATCGGCTTCAATACTGGTCCACGTCAGCTAGGGAGAGGTGTTTTTAGGTCTTTTAGTCTTTCAATTAACGGAAAAAAACTAAACTTTTCGGACGAAATAGGACCTTTCAATTAGACGGAGTTTAAACCTGAGGGACTAGTTAGGTATATTTGCGCAAAAACTTGGGATTAGTTAGAATAAATTATGTAAAAACCTGAGCGGACCTAGATAATAATTTTTCCTTATGTCCACACGTCAAGCTAAGGAAGGGGTGTTTTTAGTCTTTTTAGTCTATAATTAACGGAAAAAATCAATCTTTTTCGGACGGAATGACCCTTTTAATTAGAACGGAGTTAATACCTGAAGGACTAGCTAGATATTTTGGGCAAAAACCTTGGATTAGTTGGTTAATTTTGTAAAAATCTGAGGTGATCTAATAATAATTACCTTTATTAATTAAGGAAACAACTTAAAAACCGTTTCCAAAATCTTAGTTTATTAGACGGAGTTAAACCTGAAGGACTAGCTAGATATTTTGGCAAAACCTTGGATTAGTTGGTTAATTTTGTAAAATCTGAGGGACTAAATAATAATTACCCTTTATTATAAAGGAAAACAACTTAAAACCGTTTTCCAAATCTTAGTTTAATGTTGAAAACTGAAAAACTGTTTTTTAGTTTTCCAAATAGAAAATTGACTGATTTGAACACAAAACTCCATTTTACAGTTTTTTTTAGAAAACTTTTCTAAAAAACTACTTTAGTTTTCTACAAGTAACCACACCGATTTCACAACTCTTTTTTACCTTTGAGATATCCACAAACTTCTTTCGTAATGATAAAAGGTCCAAAATTTACAAATAAATGGCCTAATTTTAAAAAAAAAAAATCAAAATTTATTATGGACTATCGAATTTTAACAAATAGTCATTTTATAATCAATAATTAATTATAAGCACAACTCAAAATATAATTTAGCTCTTAATAAAATTAAAATGCATTGTAATTTCAATATAACATTTAAGTTATTATAATTTATATTTTAATATGTTTATTATTATGTTGAATATATAATATTTGATTTGGATAATGAATAATATAAAAATTAGTAATACATATTGATATTTGATGATGAATAGTTTGAAAAATAATTATACACTTATGATTATATTATTACTTTTTTAATAAAATTATTTATAAGTATATTTTGTTAATTTTTTTAAAGAATTATAAAAGAATAAAATTAAAAATTCGAGTGAATGAATTGGCTCAGTCTAATTGCGACTTAATCATTAAAAAGATTCGATGTTTGGTCCAATTTTAAGAACAATACAAACAAGTTTATTTCTTATTTGAAAGTGTAATAAGGTGAAACAAACAGCTCCTTATGGTACTACAGCCAGCACGAGAAACGTGGGAGGTTAAGAATTGTGCGAGTAAAGTAATTTGTATTTGTATGCATGTGTAGGGTAGGGGTCCTATGGCTAAGGGACCACCCATTTGATCAATGAACCAACAAACAACCAACGGTGTTGATAAACATCAAATTAAAATTAAAAAAAGAAATCCCTCAAAAATCAGAAATCTCACTCTCCATAAACTCTAATCTCCATCTCTCCTTCTTCTCTCTCTCCCAAACCCAAACTCTCTTCTCCATCGTCAGATCTTCTCTCTCAATAAAACAATTCCACCAATCGTTTCTCTCTCTTAAACTCGCGCCAAATACAAAACGATCTCCTCTTCTCCCTCTAACTAACAGCTCTCTTTCTCTCCCTCTCTTTCCTTCTCCCTCTAGGTATGACCTTGACTTTCTGTGTTTGTTTGTGAAATGGAGCTCCAGGTCAACAGATTAGGGTTTCATGTTTTCGTAAATTGAGTCATCACTTCTCTGCTTTTGTATATGAATGTATTTTTGTGTATGTTTATGTGAATTTCATATTTGAATTGTTTAATCTAGGGTTTGATTCAAGTCAAGCCGAATTGATGACTTAATAGAATGCATTTGTTTATGTGATCCGAAGTTTTGAGGATAAATAGTTAGATGGGTTTGCTTTGAATTTGAAGTTATTTGGGTGTATGAGCCTCTTTGATTTTTTTTTTTTTTTTTTTAGAAGAAATTTGATGTGTTTACAGTTGGTTACATTACTGGACTGTGGTGTGTGTCTCCATTGCAGGGATTTTGGTGATATGGCTGAGAACCCAACAAGTCCAGCAGGAGGGAGCCATGAGAGCGGTGGTGAGCAGAGCCCGCACTCTGGAGTGAGGGAACAGGATAGGTACCTGCCTATTGCCAACATAAGCAGGATCATGAAGAAGGCTTTGCCTGCCAATGGAAAAATTGCTAAAGATGCTAAGGATACTGTGCAGGAATGTGTCTCTGAATTTATTAGCTTTATTACCAGCGAGTAAGTTGTTAGAATCTCCTGCCTTTTTGTATTTTAGCTTTTAATGATTAGGAGCTATTTTTTATGGTAAGAAGTGATTCTTGTGAAATTATGATGGGTAATTTTTTAAGAAAGGTGTTTTGTTTTCTGGATTGTGATTGGTGCATTTGATGATAGGATTGTGCTTGTGGATATGGGTTTGATGCTTTCTAACTCTGTGGTTTTAATTAATTAGTTTAATTCTTGGTGATTGGTGTTTTTGGAAATGAGGATTTTACCTTGTGCTTTGTGAATTCTGCTTTCAGTTATGTTTCTATTTGGTAAGATGTGATCTCTATTTTGGAAATTGTGCTTTTGTTTCTGGAAATGTGGATTTTTGTTTGAGCTCTGTGTGACTGAAGTAGGAGTTACGATTGATGCTCTTGGGAATTAGGGTTTAGTTTGGGATCGAGGGCATGAGGATCTGATTTTATGTGATGCAATTGAGGTGTTTTTGTTTGATAGGGCGAGTGATAAGTGTCAGAAGGAGAAAAGAAAGACAATCAATGGAGATGATTTGTTGTGGGCGATGGCAACTCTAGGCTTTGAGGACTATATTGAACCACTTAAGGTGTACCTTGCTAGGTACAGGGAGGTAACTAATCTTTCACTTTTGGAAACATGTGCTTTTTTTTCTGTATATGCTTGATTTCTTTTGGTATTTGTTGGCTGGATGGTGTTCTAACTATTTTCCATTTTGTCATTTTGGTTATCCTGGATGACTGTGATGTTGTAGATGGAGGTAACTGAACCTCTCCCCCTCAACTATACAGTTTATTAGTTTCTTCTTAGAGTATGTTATGCAATATCTGGACTTAAATTGCAAGCTAAAATTTGGCAGGGTGACACTAAGGGATCTGCTAGGGGTGGAGATGGATCTGCTAAGAGGGATCCAATTGGAGGTCTGCCTGGTCAAAATCCACAGGTAGCTCTGTAAAAACCTGCAATTTTCTTATAGTGGTCAAATTTCTTATGTTATTTTAATTATTGATCTAATTTATTGCTTTCTTGCAATGGCGATGAGTGTGACAGTTTGCTCTTCAGGGGTCAATGAACTATATTAGTTCCCAGGTAATATATATCTCTCTTCTTCTCACGCACAAAAAAAAAAAAAAAAAAAGCTGAAGTAGTGAGGTCCCAGAGATATATATATCTCTCTTCTTCTCACGCACAAAAAAAAAAAAAAAGAAAGAGATTAAATAAGAAGAATAGGAAGAGAGGTGATCCTATTTAATTAGTTTTTGCATAGCCCATGATTTAGTTTCTCTCATAGAATAACAAAATGCTATGATTGTTGCAATGTGCCACGTATTTCTTCCCTCCTAAAGCTGGTTTTATTGTTATGTTCAATTGGTAAAAAAAAAAAAAAAAAGAGAGATTAATAAAAGAAAGGAAGAGAGGTGATCCTATTAATTAGTTTTTGCATAGCCCTGAATTTAGTTTCTCTCATAGATAACAAAATGCTCATATTTTGCATGTGCACGTATTTCTTCCCTCTAAAGCTGGTTTTATCTGTTATGTTCAATTGGTCCATTACTGCACTTTCCTTTGTTTAGCAGTTTAAGATTGGTTTCTTTGATTTTTTTTGTACCTTCTATTTCTTTAATAATGTTTCAGAACTTCTATCATTGTGGGTTGATCAATAATGGATCTTGGTCTTGAAGTTTATAGTTATTAGTTTACCCAGTGTTATTAGAATCATACTGTTCGCAGTTGGAACCATATGATTTGGATCAATTATTATGCCAAATAAATCTTAGGTTTGAATCGCATGTGAATTGACAGAATCAGCAATGAGCCGTTTGAATCATTAGATAACAATGGTCTGGAAACAGTTAGAAAAAGAAGAAAAAAAGAAAATACTCCCATCCTGTGCAAATCTTAGGAAGGCTGATGCAAACTGACTCAATAAAAGAAGAAAATAAAAAGACTTTTGGCATACCTAAAAAAAGAATTGGGAAGAAATTTGAGACAGGAGCTTTCCATCTGTTGTAAAAAGTTTAGAGATATGATTCATGAATCTCTTCCCTCTCTTCCCTCTGTTTTTTGTTTTTTTTTTCCCCATTATTTTTCCTTCTCGGCTTTTCCATCTTCGTACTTCTTTGATGTTTCCTTTTTTTTTTTTTAAATATTGTATTCGCCTCCATTTTTATCTTTTAAATATTAGCATAAATCACTCCCTTTTTTATTCTTATAAATATAAGCATTGGTCCATCTTTCTATTTTTCCTTTATCTCGTGCTTCAAAGACCTGGCTTAGAGTTACTTTTGTTTTTATTTGTTTGCACAGAACTGGATCTCTTTTTGTGATTTAGACTCTGTTGTTCAGTACCATTATATAAATTTAGAAGTGATAGGCAAGTGAAAAAAATTATTTACAATATTTTATTCAAGTCAGAGTTGAAATTTATATGAACACGTGATTTTTAATTGAATTTTTAATATCTTTTGATAAAATTAATAAAAAATGTATTTTTAATTGATTTTCAAAATTTATAGCATATCTTACAATTCAATTTGATTCTTGATTCGGAATTCAAAAAATGAGAATTCCGATTCTTGATTTGGCAGCTATGAGTTTACCAATTAAAATTAATAATCTAGGTTGAATATAATGCCCATATGCTTGTAATAGTCCACTTATCTTTTAGTCAGAAAGAATTACATGACCATATTTGCATTGTCAAGGATGGGAAAGGCATATATCATGGATGTTATCTTGGTTTTTAATATGAATTTGAGATCACTTATTACCATATTCTTACAATTACAGGTGGTATAGATAGAAAGGGGAAAGCTAGATTTGCATGCAATTCTGTAGTTGATGTTTTCCATTTCTGGCTGCAATGGTTACTTTGGTGTCTAGCTATATTTCTTAGTTATTTTTCCACATCCATTCAACTTCATCCTTGCTGGAAGTCCATTTTGGAGAGTGGGAGGAAACACTTCCTCAAAAGATGAGATATGGTAATTCAAATGGTGTTTGTTTATAATGATAGTCTTAAAAATCCTCATCTTCTGTCTCCTGTGAATCAACTTTCTTTATAGAATCCTTGACTGAAAAGTTATCAAATAAAAGTTACTTTGATATAATATGTGGAGAGATTTGTTGGATCCAAGTTTCGAATATTGTGAACTAGGGAATTCGTTGATGTCAGTTCTTGTCTATTAAACTCTTAAGCATGTGAGATGAGAAGCTTCTAGCAGCCTATAACAACCCAACAGCCAGCACCCCCACTCCCCACACCCCACCCCCCCTTCTCTTTCTCCCCCACTTCTTGGAACTTTAACGGGTAATGTTCTTAGAGTTGTATCCATAGTTGCCAAATCAAGAATCGAAATCTTTATTTTTAGAATCTAGAAGAGTTGTATCCTTAGTTGCCAAATCGAGAATCGAAATTTTTACTTTTAGAATCTAGAATCGAGAATCAAATTGAATAGTAAGATTTAGTGTAACTTTTTAAAATTAATTAAATAAATAAATATATATATATATATATTCTAGAATTCGAGAATCAAATTGAAAGTTAAGATTTTAGTGTAACTTTTTAAATTATTAAATAAATAAATATATATATATATATATAATATATTTATGGATATATTTCCATTTAATTTTATGAAAAGTTTTAAGTTGCAAAATATTGTATTTCATTTACTAAACACATAAATGAAAAGAGGACCTAAATGTAGTTTGTCGAAGTTTTCAAATTATCAAAACTATGAATTTTAAATTTTTAAAATAGAAACAAAGTGAAAAACTATCAAAAGGCCAACTGAAATTTCCTAAGCCAACCATCATATTTAATTCTATTATCATTTTTATTTATGGATATATTTCCATTAATTTTATGAAAAGTTTTAGTTGCAAATATTGTATTCATTTACTAAACACAAAATGAAAGAGACCTAATGTAGTTGTCGAGTTCAAATTATCAAACTATGAATTTAAATTTTAAAATAGAAACAAAGTGAAACTATCAAGCCACTTGAATTTCCTAGCCAAATCCATATTTATTCATTATCATTTTCAAATTTCAAGCCCTTCATTATCTTCATCTTCTAATATAACTATATCTCCTCACTCTTCTTTCTCTACATTGAATTTTTCCACTTGTTTTGTTGCGTAAGAGTCTCGCTGAACGTGAGAATCGACTCGAATCGTAAGATTTGAATCACATGAATCGCAAGATTTCATGATCAATTCCAATTCACTCATAAGATTCGAATTGTTTAGCATAAAACTTGAATCAAATCATAAGATTCGAATAGTGAATCGTGAGATTCTGATAACACTGGTTGTATCATTGCTTTAATCTGCTCCAACGCACTTACGTCTCAGGTAGGTATGGATTGATTTTTCTAGGGTTACTGTTTCCTTACCCTAGACAAAAGTAAAACTACCTTTTTAACATGTTTTTCAATGATATAGATTTTATAATGTAGTCCTCGACCAAAATCCAAGAATATGAACATATATTTATATAGGGAGAGTGATTACATGGAGCATAATGATGCAAGGACTTCCATCTATCATTATGTTTTTACAATTATGTTCCTAAGTTGAGGAATTGAAGTCTGGTGAATTTCATGGGTAATTCTGATTACATCTTGCAAAAATTATAATGCCCTCTATATAATATGTGTGTTCTCTTAATATTTAGTAGTCCATTATATATTGGTGGCAGTGGTGGTATTCCTATGTCTCTATTGGGTTTTCTGATGAATCCCAGCCATTGCTGTCTGTTCATACGTAGTTTCCACTTTGAATAGCCTTATTAAGATTGCTTCTAGGATTAAGTACTCCAATGATATATACGCTAGTGAAATAAGACAAAACCATGGATAGATCGTTTGGCTGGGTGATATTTCTCTCATTGTATATGAAGTGGTCTGATGTTTTTCACTGTATATCTTAAGGCAGCCTTTGTGTAGCAACTATCCTCAAAGATACAAGGATATAGCAGTGCACAGTCTTGGGGACTTTCAAAAGAAGGCTATGCTAGACGAATTAATAGACAAGAAATTTCTGTGTCACTTTTTTTTTTTTTTATTTGAAATATACCTAACTAATCTCTGTCTATGGTTCTAAGATTTATGCATATGGGCAGAATATTGTAAGCTTTTGAAATCATCTTCTAATACCTGTGTGTTTTTGTAGCAGATTAAGAGTAGTATTAAAGGTGTCATTGAAACCCTTGTCAAAATCCATTTTATTGATTGAAGCTATTAAAAAATTTAGGGTATTAGTTATGGCAATTAAGTTTAGGATGAGCTTCTTATTACTGATGCATGTTTTCATTACATATTTTATGCAAGTGGCTACTTATGAATATTTCTGTTTTAACACTTGAGCCATCAATTTTATGGTATTAATTTGTATCCTTGCGGTTGTACTGAACATTTGAACTCTTACAGGCACAGGGACAGCATATGATTGTTCCTTCAATGCAAGGCAACGAGTAGAGAGTAATAGTTTCTCATTTATGGAATTTTAGGCTCATAAAACTGTTTAGTTTCAATGCCTATAGCAAGCATCTTTAGTATTTGTTCATCTGATTGGAATCAAAGTGCCTATGTATTCTTTGGGCTTTGGTTTTGGTGGTTGTTGCAGCCCTCATCAGCAGAACAGTTTTAATAGTGCTGTAAATTTGATTATTTTATCTAGTACATAATCTCCTGACTATTTAAAGAGACTTATTTTGTTGGAGCTTGAGTTAGAAACCCTAATGATTATTGAATTTCATTTCTTTTTCCTTTTTGAGCATTGAGAAAGAGATTTGCTGCTTGTGAGATTTGATTCCTATTGTTCACTTCCAAGGTAGTACTTTTTAAAATTTGATTTTTATGCATGTCAGCCATCATTTTGGCTCTGTATAGCCTGAGGTTAAATGATGAACCACATTGAGGTTAAACCTGTTTATGACTTGGATTTGGGTTTGAGAAAATTCTCATTCGACACTAAGGAATATATGAATGTGGTTTAAGAGGCTGTTGGATTGACCTTGTTGAAATTCCTAATGTGCCCACCCCTATTCACCTGAGAGATGTGATTGGTTTATAAAGCTGTTGGGTCATAGTAAGGTAGGTTAACGTATAAAATATTTTATTAACGTGCACAATTAAATATCATTAATACAATGAAAACAACAAAATTACTCCAATCTTAAAAATTCTAAATTCTTAATTGATGTAGATAATCTGTCAAATTTTCTTTTCTATAAAAAGAGTCAGCTTCAACAGACAGTTTATAAAAATCCAAAAATTATCAGTGTCATCTATATTTATTCTTTTTTCCAGAAACGATATGAACATCGTTGAGTGATTCCATAAACTTACCACAGTATAGGGATTCATCTTTAGACCAGTAAACGATGCATTCGTTTAGTCCGTTTATAAATAGTAGTAAATGTTTTACATTTAGATTTTAAATGAAAAATTATATTAAAAGATCATTTATATTAAAAATTATATTAAATATTCTATTAAATATTATTTTAAAAAATTTAACTAATATTTCATTTATATAATACATTAAAAAAATATTTACTTTAAAAATTAAAAATTATACATTATATAACATAATATATGAAAATAATTATATACTATTAATATTCATTTTACATTTTAATAGTAACCACTATTAAAATTTTACTAAATAGGAGTACTCATCGATTAAGCGCTATCAACTGTCAATTACCAACTATGAGCCGCGCACCACTCTTCATTCAAATTCCCCATAATTGGAGTTGGACGAAACTTAGGCTTAGGAAAAACACTAAGAACCTTTTTTCCACTATGTGATAATGGAACTATAGAACTATGAATTACTTAATTTGTATTCTCGTTTTTTTTTTTTTTAATAGAATGGCGTTACCAGCTCTCCGGTAATATGAATAATTAAATTAAATGGGCCTAAGAGTTATGAATTTTAAAATAAAACTAGTCTTTTTTTAACCCGTGCATTGCACGTCGACGATGCTCGTTATATTTTTATTTTTTATACTTTTTTAATTTTTTATTTATATAATATTAAAGCATAAATTTTTATTTATATTAAAATAATTTTTTAACCGTGCATTGCAACGTCGACGATGCTCGTTATATTTTATTTTTTATTTTTTATACTTTTTTAATTTTTTATTTATATAATATTAAAGCATAAATTTTTATTTATATTAAAATAAATACAATTGATTAATTTATTTTAGATTTTGCTGTATAAGCTATTTGCAATGCTATTTCTTATATATTTGATTCTATTTTTATTTAATGAAGTGGTCTCAAAATAAAATTCAATCTAATCTCCATACCTAATCCTTCGGTCCCTAATTCTTAAAATTCGAATAGGTGCTCAAACAGATAATCAAGTTATCACTCAATCCTTAACCTTTGCCATCAGTCTCAAATTAATATCTATATACAACTATAGTGAAAACTAATAATAAATTTTTTTTTACTGGTAGGTAGAAGAAAAGAAATGAGAAGATGATTTGAATTAATAATAGTGATCATTTTGGGTATAGTAATAGTATTATTTACCCAGTGCATTAGAGAAAGGAATATATGAACATATATACAAACTCTTGAAACCCAAAAAATGATCCAAAATAGAAAATATATAGTTCTAGTTTTTTTCAATTTCATAAACATTATTTTCTTTTTTTTTCAATTTCATTAACTATTATTTTCTTTCAAAGTCCAATATATATTTTAGGATTATAAAAAAGAAAAATAAGTTTAAGAAAATTAAAATGACTCCAAGTCAGGAAGGGCCAGTATTTATTGCAAGGAGATAGATAGAATCCTCTTATGAACTTGAAGTTGTTATTTTTATATAATTATTTTTATATAATGAAAGTGGTCTTAAATAAACTTCAACCACATCCCTAAACTTAATCCTTTAGTCCCTAATTTATAAATACAGATTCTTAAAATCCTAATAGGTGTCCAAAAAGAAAATCAAGCAATCACTCAATCTTCAACTTCTCACTCTCAACCCCGAATCAATATCTATATACAAATATAATGAAAAATAATAATAAATTATTTTTTATTACTAGATAATGAAAAAAGAAACGAGAAAATGATATGAATTGAAATGGTAATCATTTTGGCTATAGAGACAATATTACTTACCCAGTGCATTAGAAAAAGAAACATATGTACATACACAGAGAAATATATAGTTATAGTTTTTTTTCAGTTTCATAAACACTATTCACTATTTTTTTTCAGTCAAACATATTAGAATATAGAGAAAAAGTATTAAGAAAAAGAGAAAAAGTATTAAGAAAATTAAAAATGCTTAATCATCAAGAAGCCATCTATTTATTTCAAGAGAGATATAAATCTTTTACTAAATTAAAGTGATAGTAGTTAAATATTAATTCATTAATAAAAAAATAAAAAAAATAAAAACTCATTATTAAGGATAAAACTCTTTTTAGAACTCAACATATAATAAGAAACAAATTATATTAAAAAATTTTCAATTTGAATTTTAAAAATCAACCATTCTTCAACGGAAAAAATAATAATTTAATGAAATTTGATGTTGATAGATAAAAAAAAGGACTAAAAGTCGAGTCAATAAATGTAAATTACAGAGCAAATCATGTTAGGATCTAATATTAGTTAGTTAACGCATTTATTTAAGTATTTTGTTTCTCTATTATTCTAAATTATAAATTTAAAATAAATAAATAAGTTAACTAATTAATAAAAAAAATTATATAAAAAAAAAGTTCTATCCTCAGCAAATAAAACATCAATTTCCCTGCAACCATAAAAAAAAAATATACTTTTTTCTTTTTAATCTCTCTCCAAATAAAATATTATGTATATTCTATTTGAAAATTTATTTTTTAAAAAATATATCCAATCAAATCATATAAATATAAAGAAAGAAATAATATTAAAAAAAGAATATACTTTTTCCTATTAAATATTTTAAATTATAATCAAAATAAAATCAAATGTTGAAAAAATAAAATATAAAAATTTTCAAATGCCTCATAATCATATATATAGTTATTAAAATTACATCGAAAAAGATAAAACTTAAAATGTAAATTGCAATTTTTTTTGGCTATGACTTATAAATTATGTCTAATCAACTAATAAAATGTAATTTATAATTGGCTATGACTTAGGCTATATTTGGATATTCCAAATTTCATTAAGGGCGATATCAAAAATCTTATTATTCCTCTCTCTATTCTCACATTTATATATACTAAGTATTTTGTATGACGTGCGTTGCACATTGATTATGCTCCTTATATACTCTTTTTTTCATCTACATAATATTAAAACATAAGTTTTGTTTATTTAAAATAAATACAAGTGATTAATGTATATTACACTTTGCCGTACAAACTACTTGCAATGCTACTCCTTACGTACTTAATTTTATTTTTATATAATGAAGTGGTTTCAGAATAATGTTCAACCCAATCCTCAAACCTAATCCTTTAGTCTTTAATTTATAAATGCAGATCTTTTAAAATCCTAATAGATGCCTAAAAAGAAAATCAAGTTATCGCTCAATCTTCAACCCTTGCCTTCAACCCCAAATTAATATCTATATACAACTATAATGAAAATAATAATAAATTATTTTTTAATGTTAGGTAAAAGAAAATAAATGAGAATATGATCTAAATTGATAATGAAAATTGTTTTGGCTACAGTTGCAGTATTACTTAGTCAGTGCATCAGAGAAAGGAATATATGCTCATATACACAAATTTTTTAAACCCCAAAAGATGACCCAAACATTTTTAGTTTTTTTTTTTTCAGTTTTCTAAACACTATTTTCTTTTAAGTCAAACAAATCTATGATATAAGAGAAAAAAAATATTAAAAAAATTAAAAATACTTAATCATCAATAAGCTATTTATTTGTTGCAAGGGAGATATAAATCTCTTGCTAAATTAAAATGATAATAGTTACAAATTATTCAAGAGTTACAAATTATTCAGTAATGAAAAAGAAAATAAAAAATTATTATTAATAATAAATCACTTCCAAAACTTATCTAACAAAACAACCTTTCAATATATATAAATATATCAATATATCAATATTAATATTTTCAACTATCTCTCTTCCCAAATATAATTATGTGAATTCTATTTGGAAATTTATTTTTCAAAAAATATATCTGATCAAATCTTCAAACATAATAAAAAAAGGAATATTAACAAAAATAATATTTTTAATATTATGTATATTCTATTTGAAAATTTATTTTTAAAAAATATATCCAACCAATCGTACAAATATAAAAAAAAGAATATTAATAAAGAAGAATATATTTTCTTTTTTTCATCTATCTCCTAAATAAATATTTAAATTATAATCAAAATAGAATTAAATATTTAATAAATAAAATATTAAAAAAATTTTCGAATGTCTCATTATCATATATATTTATTAAAAAATAAATTTAGTAAAAATAAAACTTAAAATTTTGAAATGCTTCATTTTTATGATATTTATTTAATTTTTTTTTTTTTGATTTATTAAGAGGTCTTATGGGCTAAAATAACACTGGGTGCTACACAATAATGAATAATCCTCCTCTAGACTCAACAATTGATAACAACACTTGCGATTGAGAGAACTCGAACTCAAGATGTCTCACTCCTCATATAAGTGAGAAGACTATTAGACCATTCATGATTGGCTTAAAAAATAATTTTTATAAATATATTTCTAATCAACTAATAAAATCTAATTTTTTAATTGG